GGCTTGGCAGCTCGGAAATCTGGGCCTGTCAGCACAGCAGGGGCTCCTCCCTACTTAAAACCGGGCAAAGCCTACCTATGTGCACACAGATCTAGGAGGGACTAGACTTTCAAACAAATCGGAAGATCTGGCTAGTCCATGGTGCGCCCTCCTATGTTAATTTTGTCGCTAAGATGACGGGACGTGCGGGAATGGTCGGCGAAGCTTAGTGATCTACTCGAACCCATTTATAGAGGCAAGGCAAGAACATCTCTGGTCGAAGACTGATTCTGTAGTTCTACAGCAGAACTCCCGACCCCAAGCCCTTCGGAGAGAAGAGAGAAGCTCTTATTCAGCATGGACGTTGAACCCATGTTCATTCAAAGACCAAAGACAAAGCCAAGGTGCAAGTCAACCCTAACTTGCACTTGGGCTGGATCCAAATACCCTTAAATTCCAGGGATTCTTTTTGCGACGTCCCTTACTTGTACCGCATTTGTGCTTCTGTGCTCCTCTGCAGAACCTGAACCCAAAAAGAAAGGGTTCGGGCTCAGGAGCCTTCAGCAGACGGTTCTCCGACCGCAAAGCCTGGCGAAAGAGCTCTGGAAGCCGATAAGCAACCCAAACCCCTAAACCGTAAACCCTGCGAAACCCGACGGTTCTTCCCCTAAGCCCGACGCCCTAAGCCGCAAACATGCACGACAAGTTCCGTGAAAGCTTCATGTTTCCTTGATGCCGTTGCTCTTGCTGCTACTCCTACAGATCTTGCATTTGGCCACATGTTACTTGGCAGATATGCTGCTGCTACTCATCATGGTAGTGGATTCCAATACTACTCTCACTACGTCAAGGTCATTTCTATTGCTGGCACACTTATCGTTGCTACCATTGTTCAAGTTCTGGCACTGTACATGCTACCGGTACGGGTATTGCTGCTATGATCGCATCTCTCATTGGTCTAATTACTGTGTGTGTCAGTTCTTCTGCTCACTGCAGGGGCATTGAACAAGACTGTGATTGTGTTTGTGAGCGCGCGTGTGGCACTATGACTCCTGGCCTTGTTCTGTCCCTGGCACGACTATTCCCACTGTCGCGATGTCTGCCGTCCCTGGTGGTACTGCCGTTCGTCATAGCGCTAGACCGCTAGACGTGATCTTCCGACGCAGCGGACCATTAAACCTATTTTTTCAGCGAGTACTCTACCTGCATGTCTGCAAGCGCTTCTGGCACGCGACCATGCTGGCCTACAGGCAAGATGCAGAGTGCATGCCTCGACTTGACTGCCAAGCTCGAACCAGCAGCGGTGCAAGTTGTTGAGACACCTCCAGACGATGAAACTGCAAAGCTCCAGAGAAGTACTGTCACTTGCTGCAAGTATGGTACAACTAGCCCGATTCTCGCCCTGCTGCTGTGGCCTCTGGCCTTTTGGTAGGTTGACTTCTATGCACGCACTTGTCAGTCGATTTGCTCGAACTGGAAGTCCACATCTTATATCTTGTAAATCTCCAAACCATCTTCCACACAGAGCCTGGCCTTGTCAAGGGATCTTCCGCCTCCGAGAATTCAGCCAATGAGAGTACATACAGGGGAAGCTGCTCACGCTTATGTCGCACATGCACTACATGAACACGGTGGTGGCAGACTGCGATCTGGTGAACCAACACACAAATCACTCTACGACTCTACGAGCCTCGACGTCAGTCTCTACACTGGCTTCGGTCATTGCGCTGAGGAAAAAGTTGCAGCTGCACGGCTGCTATCTGGCCAAGACGCGGCTTCTTCAATTGCGTGTACACTCGTTCGACTTTTTGGCGAAGTCTCTTTGCGCAGCTGCCACCAGCAAACATCAAGTCTTGCTACTGAGTTGGGGTTCAAACTCGTGTCTGAGGAGGAAGACTCTTAAACAGGTCAAGTCTACATGGGTTTGAAACTCATGTCCCGCATATTCTATCCAAAGGCTGTTCAACAGCCTTGCGAGCCCATCAGCAGAACATTCACGGCCATCACAACACATGCCTGTGCATCTAAATTGTAGAATCGTGAACAGCCAGCCGCACCACGCCCACCACTATCCATGCCACTCTGCCAGCAGTTGCCTTTTTACAGAAGCGCTTCTGCAAGAACATGGCCAGCTTCAACTGTCACTAATTTCTGGCGGTTTTCTCAGCTGCATGCCTTCTGTTAGGAATGGAGCTGGGACCGCTTATGACTGGGCAACCGAAGAGAGAAGCTGCAGCCATCGACAGCACATCGTTGGCGCTGTCATCATCAACCCAATAGCCTGACAGAGCTCTGCGACATGCAAGCTACTCAAGAATCTCTTTGAAGCATCAGCACTGTTGAATCTGCATTCTTGCATGCGGGTGTTGCACGAATGGCGCACCATGCGACCCCCTCCCTCGAATCGGCCTCTCAGAGGCGTCTCCTGCAGGGAGAAGCAAAGCAAACAAGAAGGAGCCCTGCGGGCCCTGCGGCGCCTCGGAGCTTCCCTGCCTCGGCTTGGGCTCCCGAGCGAGCCTGCAGAAGGACTCCAGAAAGGAGAGCACGGAAGAGAGCGAGGATCGGCGCCGTAATAGCGGGATGTCAGTGGAACAGGAGCTGCTGAGCAGTCAGGAATAGACTACGGCAGAGTCCGGAACAGACCAGGTTACATCACAAGCAGCAACCAGCGAATCCCTCGGCTTGGCATCTCCAGCAGTTTTCAGAATCATATCCGATCATACCCGAACATAGCACAAATTGAGGCAAAGGATAGCCGAAAACGTTCGAAAAGCCATCAGGAAGCTCTTCAACAGCTTGCGGCATGAAGTATTTTCATCAGGAGCAAGCATAGGAGCAAGCATATACTTCCGTCCTATTCAACATCTATATACTGCGAGAGATTGGAAAAGGCCACAAAACACTAGCGTTGACCCCGACCTTGTTCAAAATCTATGTGCTGCGAGAGACTTAGAGAAGGTCTCAAAGCATAAGTGTTTGCCCCGATCTTGTTCAACATCTACGTGCTGCGAGCGATTTAGAGAAGCCCTCAAAGCATAAGCGTTTACCCCGGTCTTGTTCAACATCTATGTGCTGCGACAAATTTCGAGAAGGCCTCAAAGCATAAGCGTTTACCCCGATCTTGTTCAACATCTATGTTGCGAGAGATTTGGAGAAGGCCCAAAAACGCAAGCGTTTACCCCGATCTTGTTCCGCATCTATGTGCTGCGAGAGATTTAGAGCGTTTGTGACGATCTTGTTCAATACCTATGTGCTGTGGAAGATTTTGTTAATGCCTCAGAACAAAGCCGTTTACGCCGATCTTGTTCAACATCCGTGTGCTGCGAGAGATTTAGAGAAGGCCCCAAAACACAACCGTTCATCACTATCTTGTTCAATACTGCTGCGGGAGATGAACAAAAGGCCCCAAAACAAAGCCGTTTACCCCGACCTTGTTCAACATCTGTTTGCTGCCAGAGAGATTTAGCGAAGGCCGCAAAGCATACGCGTTTAACCCGATCTTGAACAACATCTATGTGCTGCGAGAGATGTTGAAGAGGCCTCAAAGCACAAGCGTTCACCTCGATCTTGTTCAAGATTGTGTGCTGCGGGGGATTCAGAGAAGCTCAAAGCACAAGCGCTCAGTCTGATCTTGTTGTGTACCGCGATGTTGTTCAACAGCGATTTGCTGCGAGAGATTTAGAGGAGACTTCAGAGCAAAATCGTTTACACCGATCTTGTTCGACATCTATGTGCTGTGAGAGATTTAGCGCATCATAAGCGTTTACCTCGATCTCGTTCCACATCTATGTGCTGCGAGAGATTTAGACAAAACCTCAAAGCATCGGCGTTTACGCCGATCTTGTTCAACATCTATGTGCTGCGAGAGATTTAAAGAAGCCTTCAAAGCATAAGCAATTACCCCGATCTTGTTCAACACCTATGTGCTGCGAGTGATTTAGGGATTGCCAACAAGAAGAAGCGCTTACACCGACCTTGTTCAACACCTATGTGCTGGGAGTGATTTAGAGATTGCGAACAAGAAGAAGCGTTTACACCGATCTTGCTCAACATATATTTGCTGCGAGAAATTTCGAGAAGGCTTCAAAGCATAACGCCGATCTCCTTCAACAGCTACGTGCTGCGAAAGATTTAGAGAAGCCCTCACAGCAGAAGCGTGCGTTTACCCCCGATCTTGTTCAACATCTAGATTTAGAAAAGGCCCCAGAACAAAGCCGTTTACGCCGATCTTGTTCAACATCTATTTGCTGCGAGAAATTTAGCGAAGGCCCCAAAACGCAAGAGTTTACCACGATCTTGCTCAATATCGATGTGCTGCGAGAGAATTAGAGAAGGCGCCAAAACACAACTGCTTACTCCGATCTTGATCAATATCGATGTGCGGCGAGAGGCTTAGAGTTTAGAGAAGGCCTCAAAGCATAAGCGTTTACCCTGATGTTGTTAAGCATCTATGTGTTGCGAGAGATTCAGAGAAGGTCTCAAAGCACAAGTGCTTGCCCCGATTTTGTTCAACATCTCTTTGCTGCGAGAAATATCGAAAAGGTGTCAAAACATAAGCATTTACACCGATCTCGTTCAACATCTACTTGCTGTCAGAGACGTCGAGAACGCCCCACGTTTACCCCGATCTTGATGAATATCTATGTGCTGCGAGAAACTTCGAGAAGGCCCCAGAACAAAACCGTTGACCCCGATCTTGTTCAAAATCTATGTGTTGCGAGAGATTTAGCGAAGATCTTAAGGCATAAGCGTTTACCTTGATCCTTGCAACGTCTATGTGCTGCGAGAAATTTGGCGAAGACCTCAAAGCATAAGCGTTTACCCCGATCTTGTTCCATCTATGTGCTGCGAGGGATTTCTGTACTGCTAATGCTACTGCTACCACTATGGCACTTGTTCCTCATGGTTGTGTTCGAGCCCACCGCGGACTTTTGTTCCCGACTGGGCCGGGCCGTGTTGCCAACTCCGTATGGCGCTCCTCACTGCGACAGCCCTGCATTCCGGACTCAGCTGTGCCTGACTTAGGGGGCATTCGGACGTCGCGCCGCGCCGTCCCGGCTCGCCTCGGAGTGATGCCAGACGCTGAAGCTGAGCAACATCGTCAGGACACCAACGGCCTGGCACGGAAAGACCAGATTCTGGGTGGACGGGTCACTTCTGGGGAGGCTTCCTGCCTGAGGCCATCGAAAGTGGCTGTGCACCACAAACAAGTCCAGCAAGAAGTTCAGAGGAATGCCTGAAGCAATGCAGTCCTTTCAGCGACTTGGCCACTGTCGAACACGAGGCACGGGGCCTATTTGCGTTCCAAGGCTTGTGGTCACCGGCGTCTCCCGTGAGAGGCCGAACTTGATCAGGAAGTTGAAGAGCTCGGGCAGCCACCAGGTACGACACGCACGAAGCTGGCAGAGCTTGGGCGCATGAGTTGTTGAGACGTCCGGGCCGCAGGCTGCGGAGCTGAGGGCGGTCATCACCACCATGACCTCAAACCGTCCGGATGAATGCTGATCTGTGGATCTGTGGTGCTTGTTTGGTGGGCTCACGACATTCAAACGGTGCGGGGCCTAACTAGGCAGCGATTGCCAGATTCCTATTGCCCGCAAGCATCAGCGGAAGGCCTTCGGGAGTTCAAGGCCTCATTTGGCCTCTGGGTAGATGCTTGGCCATGCTGTCGGAAGCAACACCCAAGGCCCGCTGCCCAGGGTACTTCCTCCAAGTCGAGGGCGTAGAGACCCCTGCAGTCAGGACAGCGGTCTTGTTGGGCTCTCCTTCGTGATGACACCTCTCAAGCTTGTAGTAGTACTGGATCAAACACTTATTCTAGCTCACACCCCAAAGCACGACACTTACCCTCCTAGCGGCCTAGCCTACCCTTCCAACCTGACAAAGCGATATCCTGCGCGACCAATGAAATTTCAAAAACCACGAGGGTCCGCGACACCTCAACTTCGGATCTTAGCACCTTTCACCAGAGACGCCCGCCGCGCCTGTCCACCGCAAGCCAGAGCACGGCTCCCATTAGAGCCGACGCCCAGCCTTGCCACTACCCCCACCCTGGACCCTCCCCGAAGCACTACAGCACCCAGCGGCCTCTCAAAACTGTCGGCTACTCGCGAATGTGACTCCAAAAGTTCTCTCTGCGACCACCGTCTCTCATGGCTGTTGCCTCACTCGGCTTCTGTTCGCACGCTGCTTCGCGACGCAATATGCCCGACCCGGACAACGCTGTTGAAGGAGTTGCGACAGAAGAAACACCAAAGAACCAGCTGTGTACAGCACATGTTGCAGGAGCGTGAAGAGTTCAGAGGCAGACTGAGGCAGTGGCAGCCCATGTGGGCGAGAAACAGCCCAACCTGTGCAGGAAAACTGAGTGTCCTTTGCACAGAAGTCACCGTGCGACGGACTGCATGGGCTCTTTGGGACTTTTTCGTTCGGGCCGCGAAGCGCCAAGTCGAAAGGAAGTCGGAACTGGGCTTGGGGCGCAGCAGCGACGTATCCGATGCCCTTCGAAGAGCGCCCCCAAACAAGGGCCGCCCCCCCCGCCCGCCCCACTCTCGTCTTGGCGTCCCCTTCTCCTCAACGCTCCTTCGCCTCCAGCGATCTGCCGCACTGCCGCTGCATGCCTGCGCTGCCGTGCCGAAGCGCCCGGCAGCAACCGGGTGCCCCTTCCTCCGCTCCGCTCCGTCGACCGGCTCCCACTCCGCCTTCTTCTCGGCGCGCTGAGCTGTCTGGCGCCATGCCATCCCCGTGGCTTTTTTCGGGCAGGCTGCAGCTACTTGCGGCTGCTTGGATCACCTCAGGTCTGAGCTTCACATCCGAAGCTTGGGATTGGGATCTTCTGGTCTGAAACGAGACAAGGAGACAAACTGCCGAGCGTGGAGCTTTCGAGGTGCCGCAAGCACCGTGCCACATGTGCAGCATAGATTTTGGGCAGCTCCTCCCTGGCAGACGAGGACTGAGTGCGCTACAGAAACGATCACTGAACCTACTGGGCACATCTCGGCACCTTGCCTGGGTGCTCGGATTTGGAGCAGCCGGCGCATGGCCTCCACTAGCTCCGGCCGCGGCACATCTGCCTCAAAGAATAACACGATTCCGGAAACGGAACCGTGTCGCCAATGCCCCACGGCATGTGGCTTTGGAATCACTCATTAATAAAGGGCACGAAGCAAACTATTGGAGAAAGAAGCAAGAATCCAAAAAACATCCAAACTTGAAATGATTGGACACATCCGCCAGGATTGCACTTAGTCTTGCTGCTTGTGAAATCCTACTGCCGGTTCGCAGCCCCGCTCCACTGCTCTTATTCGGGAGTCCTACGTGTTCCAAGGAACGGACAGGGAGTGGGGACTAGTGGCGTGTCGACTTCCATTCGTGTCGACATCTTCTCCGGGATCTCCATAAACAGATTCACAAACAAGACACAAGACAGCCACTCGCCGTTGCTTGGAGATTAGTGATGCCTAACTGATCTATCTACTGCAGGTGAGATCAGTGCTAACCGGACATCGTTGGGATGGTTTCACGGCGCTGTCCAGGGCAATCCGTGGCACTGAGCTACATACGTCTGCTACACACGAGAAGTCGAGAAGCGTTAGCACAGGCTTGCAGTTAAACGGCACAGAACCCACCAATTGCTTGGTCGGACGACTGAGGACAGAAGACAGAGGCTGACGGTGCTGCTCTGGATGCATCGAGCTTCCGGCATGTCGAATCTCACCCACTTCCTGCAAAAGGAATCGAAGAGCAGAGACCAAGCAAGCCAGCCACGGCTCGGAGTAAAAGGGGACAAGGGGACAATGAACTGAAACAAGAAATCCTTTCTCCACCCCTGCGTCTCTCCTTCAGACGGCGCCGGAGCCTGGCCTCCTTGGCGGCACGGCGCCAGACCTGCCCACTCAATCTGTGTCTGCGCGCGGTGCTTGCCTTGCTGGCTGGGTCCACTCCTTTGGGTCCACTCCTTCTTGGCGTCTGCAGCTATCTCAGGTACATTTGTTGTTCAATATATACATATATGTATGTGTATACATATATATATATATATATGTAATGCACGCACGTGCACCTTGCACTCTCCCTCTGCCTTCTTTCAACCATGAGCATGCATCGGTACATCAAGTTGTTAGCTGATCATGTGCCTCTCCGTTTCATGCCCTGCCTTCCGAAAGATTGATCTGCCTGCGTATCTCTCCATCCACCTGTTCTCACTGTCACCACTTCGGCCGTGGTTCAATTGCTGCTTTATCGCTTGGTTATCGCATGTTCTCCTTTCACCGACTGAGGTGAGATCTTAGAGAGAGCGACTGCGACAGAGACAAAAAGCGACAGAGACAGACACAGAGAAACAGCCAGAGGAACAAAGAGTCACAGGGAGGCAAGATAGATTGATGGATTCATTGAGTAACTGACTGACAGAGGTAGATATTGTCGCTGGGTAGACAACCAGATCGGTCGAAATTTGTTTTTACGCCTCCGATAAGGGATATTCCGATATTCCTGGGTCTGCCTCTTGCCTGAAGAGCTTTCTGCGACCGCACCTGAAGACGATGCGGCTCTGTGAAGATCTGGTGCAAGGTCTCCCGGGCATCAGACGCCGAGCGTGTGGCCTGGACTACGAGAGAAGTCAGAAAAGCTGATCCCATGTGCTCCGGCTTGAGGAGACGAGGTCCTCCATAGCTTGCCAGCCGCACTTTTGGAGCTCCTTTCGGTTCCGGTCCCAGAACAACTCCACGGCCTGCAGATGTGCGAATTTTGAAAGGCTGGCCGGCTGGCGTCTTCTGCAACTCAGCCGAGGCTCTTCCATCACCTGCCCCGGACTTTCCTCGCCAGCCTCTGAAACGCTCCGGGCAGCGGCAAGAGCGTACGAGCGCGAGTGCTTGCGCGGGCTTGCGAGGGCTATGCCCGGCTATGCTATCCAACCACGGCCTGGAGGTACCCGAAGCGACGGAGGACTCGCTGAACAAGGTCTTCGCCTTAGGGGCGTGCACTGATCCACTTCTCTCTGCTCCAGTGGCCACTGGCCCACTGGAGCTCGGGCTCGGACTGATGTATGTCAAGAGAGGCCCTCCCTGCGTGGCTTCCTGAGAGCTCTGCGCAGCGCACCCTCCCGGCCTCGCATGCCTGCGCTAAACGCCGCATCTTTCGCCTCATCGGGACTCTTTGCCTCGACCTCCTTGGGCCTGGGCAGTGCGGCAGCGCGGCACGACCACGACTATTAGATCTATTAGGAAAGAGCCCTGTGGCCACATTTGTTCCTGCAGAGAGGAGTTTCGGCACTTGAGCGACTTTGGCTCAGGCTTTGGCACCTGACCCTCTCAGACCCTGCTTCGGATGGAGGCGAGTCCACGAGCCAACACCACTGGCTCCCTTCCCGCTTCGGGAAGAGGAGGAAACGTGCTACAAGCGGCTTTCGAGATTCTGTGGGGACGGGGACACCAAGGGCTCCCCGAGCACCGGCTTGAACTCAGCTTCCCAGACGCTTCGGTTGCAGCAGCAGCTCCTGGCATAGAAGCACGCATAGCACGCTTCAAACGGAAACAGAGCACGCAGCGACGCGCAGCCTCGCCCCCTCGTCCCGTCGTCCCGTCGTCCCGTCGTCCCGTCGTCCCGGCCTGGGGGAGCTGAGACGAAGCCCCGAGGCCACGGCGAAGCGGGCGAAGGTGAGGAGCCAGACGCAGAGCTCGAGAACCGCAGCCTCCAGAGTCAGAGGCTCCCCAGAGACTCCCCGCCGGAGACACCGCTTCGATAATTTGCAGAAGCATCTAAAAAAAACCTAAGCAGAGGCACGAGGGCACAGCCACCGGGATCCTCTGCTGCACCGAAGGTCTCAAAGAGGATGACACTGTAGTCACTCATGCCATGAAGAAGGATTGCCTGAGAGCACCCACCCAAGATTCTGCCTCCTGATCCTCCTGTCGAGATGGCTATATACCGTTATACTGCTACATACCGCTACCGGACGAGAAGCATGATTTTTTGATCAGAAGGTGCTGGGGCTGACGAGCCAGTGGAATTGCCGCCAAGGGACCGGCCAGATCGTGCCGAAGAGCGATGGGCTTTGCTTTCGTGGCAGGAAGAGGCGGCGGGCGAGGCCCACCCCGATCATCCCCGTCCAGCAGATGTGCATCGGGAAGAAGCCTCGGATGATCACCACTGGCAAGGCCATGTTCGCCTCCCTGCTGGCCATGGCCAAGCCGTATTCCAGGTTCTCCACGGCTTCGAAACCAGCACCGGCGGCGACTGCAGCCAACAGTACGTGTTGCGGCGTGGGGGCCAGCTTGAACCACCAGCCACAGTCGCGGCTGCTTTGGGAGAAGAACATGCCGCAGCAGCAGGTTTCCGGGACATCGTCTACACTTCGCCGCAGTCGGAAGAAGAACCACACGGCCTTAAACGTCTCCTCAATCATGCCGGGGATACACAGCCAGGCAGCAAAGCCCAAGAACTCGCAGTGCTCCGTCCGCGGACTGATCGCGTGAGCTGCTGTGAACCCCAGCTGGCAGTCAGGAAAAGAGCGTGTCCAGAGAGGTGTCATCAACAACTCAGCAAAAGCAGATAAGAAGACGCTCAAGAACGTGCTGTGCAAATACATGGAAGCCAGAAAGCCCAGTGTCACCCCATCGCCCAAACGCCACCATGCCAGGAGCAATATCAACACTGGAGCCCCGCTTGCGAAGAACACGGCCACACCGCCAGGGCCAAGAACCTGAAAGGTGCCACAGAGGCCTGCAACAGAAACCAGCAGCACAGCCACAATAACCACCCGGCCGTCACCAGTCAGGGTTCCTGACATGAGGCACATAGGTTCACTTTCATCCACCGGGATCTCGACATTTATCTCTTCACTTTATGGATGGCATGCACTCTTGCACATGTAATGACTTCCTTTGAGGAAATGTCCTGACCACACACATCAAACCAAAGAACTGCAAAATCTGCCAGGCAAGATCGAGGCACTGAGGAAGCCGGCATCGACGGGTCGAGTTGAGGGAAGGGAACCGGACGAGCTTGTAGAACTGTTCCATGCCTCGAGAGTTTCTAATATGAAACCCTCGAGCCGCACCTGGACCAACCTAATGTGCCTCTCTGCCCCTCCCTTGCAACAACCTGTGGGTACATCTAAGATGCACTGGTAGCAACCCCTCTCCAGGCAATGCACGCCCACATGGCCAGTGGTAGGCTTTGAAGAGCCAGCAGAAGAACCAGAAGAGGGTTCATGCCGCTGGAAGGGCGGAAGATGATTCTTATTCTTACGCCGAGAGGCTACGAGTACCCTGCCGATGAGCCAAGGTCGCCGGACTTCAACACGGCATGTCGCTCGCCCTCGCCCCTGCGCCCCTGAGCTGCCAGCTTCAGAAACGCCAGATTCTTGGGATCAGGAGCCCAACCTCCAGTGACTCCAGTTGCTGTCATCACTGCGAAGGCGCCGCGGGCGGGCGGTGCCTCCAGCCGGTGGCCTCTCCATCAGCGAGAAAGCCTCGCGGCGAGGCGTGTCAGGCACACTTGAGAAGAGGGCCACGAAAGCTAGGGGAGAGGAAGCGTAGCTGCGAGCAATTGGGGCTGAGTAAGGCGGGGGACACATGTGACATGAGAGTACTGTCGAACACGAGGCCGAGGCGACAAGGTATGTTCGGTTCAGTTTCATGGAGTGTCAGCTGGCTGAAAGATACTTTGGATTTTCAATCCCAAATTCTGTAACCCTAAGACGTAATATTAGAAGCCAACAGGCCAGATCTGTTAGAAGGTGCTGCCGCCATGCTGTAACGGGAACCACCGGGTTGGCGTTGCGATCTGGAGGTTTGTGCTGGTTACAAGTTTCTGTTACGGTTGGAGTGCAAGTTGATAAACTTCAAACACAAGCAAACTCAGGGACCTTGTGGAAGGAGGGGGGGGGGACCTGTGGGTAGGGGGGGGGGGAGCCCCCCCCCCACCTTGTCCCACGCGCCGCAACCTTAAAGGTGGGGGGGGGAGGCGGGGGGAAACCACACCTTGTCTCTTCAAAATGCTTCATGAGCGAGGTGAGGGGGGGGGCGGCCCCTCCTCCCCCCCACCCCCCCACCTTAACTCTTGGACGTCCCACCTGATAAGGTGTAAGCCCTGGTTTTGCCCTAGTGCCTTAATACAAGGTAGACAAAGTGAAAATTGCTAAAGGGCAACTCCCGCGAGCTCAACAGAGCTAGCTTTCGTGACAGCGCCCACATTTCGGCGCTTGGCAACTCCGAGCCTGCGTGAGGCCCTCGTGCAGAGGCCGGATGGTAAGCCGACCAAGCCTCCGTGCGTGCGTCGGAATGCATCTTGTCGACGGGTAGTCACTGCTCCGTGGCTGGCTCCGTGTGGTGGTCATGCGAGCTTCAGGACTAACCAGGTCCGCCACCCGTTTGCGTGGAAGAACTTGGCTAGCGCAGCTAGCATGATGCCTTGGTGGTGTCGCTTGGAGATGCTCGGAAAATAGCTTGTAACCCTCACGTTGAAGGTCATCTGAGCCGCGGACCGCGCTGGGGTGGTTTGGGCCTGTACCAAAGGCTGCGGACCGCAGTCGCTGTCCGACGCCGAAAGCACCACGGGGCTCGGACAGGTAGCCCAGTCCTTGCAAGAGCTCTTCCAACTTCTCCATGCTCCTGCGCAGACGGGGACCTCCGTTGTTACAGTTCGCGAACAGTCAGGCCAGTCCCTGGCTTGGGCTTTGCGGTCTTGCCTCTGCCTCTCTTCAGTCAAGGGCTGGTCCCCCAAGTCCACCTTAAGCCGGAGCCACAGATCCCTGAGCACAGCTCGCAGACGCAGACATAAGCGCTCCAACCTGTTCTGCCAGCTCCACGTTGGAATCCAGGCACGACGTGTCCAGATGCTCCGCCACCTGTGGCACCGAAAGCCGCTCCTGGTATCCCTTTAAAGCCTCGTATCCCGTGAAGGCGCGAAAACGAGCAACGACAGCTACGGGCACACCCCGGCCCCGAGCCTTGCTGATGCTGGGACGCTCCCCAAAGAGCAGAAGCTCGTCTGCTGCCGAGCGCAGCAGTTCTTGACACCTTCCCGCGAAGCGAAGAGCAATGAGAAGCAGAAAGCAGCGAAGCACGGAAGGCTCAAGACTGTGGCACCGCGAAGTTGATCGCGCAGGGGTCACGGCAAAGGACCGACGGCCCAGCTGACGAACCTCGCGCTGGAAGGGCCAAAAGTCAAAGGGGGGCCCGGGTCAGGGACCCTGCGGCGCCCATGGGCGGCCTTCCGCAAGACGATGGCGAAGTCCACGTCCTCTTGGATATCGGCAGCCCGGACAATGCAAAGTGCGCGACAGTGTTTGCCCCCGCACCTCCGATGCTACAGCGATGCCAAGCGCTGTGCCTTCGAAGCAAGTCTTCGCTTGATGGAGCAAAACATCAGGTTCCAGCCTTTCAAGCATTCCTCCACAGCATCCACAGCCAGCATGATATCTGCCGGGTCCTGTGTCTGACCATGTCTCATTGCTGCCATGCTTGTCCCACTCCACTGACAGCACAATCAGGGAGGTTCACCCTTCGACCGGATTGCCTACACCACTCTGTGGCACATGCTTGTCCGATACTGTCCGACATCCTTTGCTTCTCCCAAACCCCCACATTCCTCTCTCACTAGCCCTGTTCTGCTGTCTCCTTCAGCCCTGAGGACAACTGCGGCACCACGACCGTCTCGACGCCTTCGCAGGGACTCTTGCTGGGACATCTCGCATGCAACGCCGGATGCTGAGCCTTGCTCTGCGAGCTGGTCCTTCCAGAGTAAAGCCTCCGGCAGACACCGCCGGACCGCTTGTCCTCGTGCCATCTGTCTCCTACCACCTGAGCCCGGCGCTTTGTGTTGGTTCACGTAAATTCGGCCTCGGCTTCAGCTGACGGCCTACGTGTATGGGGATATTCCGGCCTTTGGCTGCTGGATTTCTTGCTGCGGCTTGAGGATTCTGGTTGAGTGGACGACGGAAAGCTGCTGCATTTGATCGCACGCCCATGCATGAGATCGGCTACATCCTTTGACGCCTCAAGGGTCGTACTGAAGATGCAGACAGAACGCGCTCACAACGAAAGCAACGAACACGAAACTATCAGCAGCGCACAGGCAGAACCGACATCTATATCACTGAGCATTGGATGGTCAGTATAACTCCACGGAGCTTTGATGGAGAAGGCCTTGCAGAACCGTTTCCAGGAATGCCAAGGTCACGGCTGTACTTGATCTGGCCGACCGACCGCACTGCCTTGCGGTGTCTTACACCAGCACTCTACCTTGCATACGACAGGTCTGAATGATGGTTCAGGTTCTGCTCCCCCAAAGCCCATGACTACTCGCTTTTGTGTCTCGGGCCGGCCAACTCAAGAAAGTGCGCACATTTGGTGTGTAGCTCGATCTTTGGGGATGGGCTGTCGGCTGTCGCCTGCAACACAGACTGTAGCGAGGCCGGAGACACGTTGTCGCCATCAATTAGGACGGCCAGTGAGCCTGTGGCAGCCGCTGCTGACAATTCCCTCGACCTTTCGATGCGGGCCCGCCCGGGCCCCCTGCCGCAACCACGAAGCGGCCCCCAGCTGGCAAAGGAGGGTGCTTAGGGTCTGGAGGGTATCTTTGCCTCTACCTGCAGCTGCAGAATCCACCCCGGCAACCTGCAATTTTGGCAAGCACGAGGCCGCTCATGCTCGGGTAGGTTTGGCCGACGGGCAAAAACTTGCAGCTGACACTCTGTGTCAGCAACTAATGACTAATGGCTAACTCTGCTGCTCCCGCCCCGGCCGGTTCATTTACTTTGACAAGACGTTGAGCTTGTCAGCTTGTCTATGCCGCAGCCGCTGACTGCCGGCTCAGATGTCTCGGGGGATGAAGTCACCAACAGAGGACTGGAACTCGGCAGTGGTCAAATTTGGGAGCAGGGATGGCCCCTCGCCTGAGGCAACACAGAGGAGCTCGGAGCTCGAGCCGCATGTCTCACGTCTCGTCCCCAACCCCCGCCCTTTCGAGGCTCTGGCCAGTCGAGGCGTTTCGGAGGACCATGAAGAAGAAGCCAACCATGGCAAGGCGGCAGTGCTTGATCTCACGGAGCTTCATGTTGTTCCATTCCTGCCGTCACACGGTCACGCGCCCCAACGACTCCCTCCCCGCAGCCCCAGTCAGCCCAGTCGTCCCCACTCTTCCTCGGGCTGGTAGGCGGCGGTGAAGGTGGGGCCGAACCTGTGCTTGACCACGATGGATGCCAAATACGGCTGACAGCATTGACAAGCTGAGAGAGAGGCCACTTGGGGCGGGGGCTGCTCACCGGCGCCGTCGGGTTCCAGCCAAGGTCTCCAGGCTGGACACCCTGCGAGTACTTGCTGATGACCTGCAACGTCCACACATCCACTTCCCTCAAGTGTCAGAAGGTCTTGGACGCCCTGTAGTGCCGTTCAAGAAGCATTCTCGTAGCGCCAGAGCTCAGACAAGGCGATCACAACGATGATCTGGAGCCAACCGACGATGGGGACCTCAGGGGCACAGACACCAAGGCACCTTCTTCCACCTCAAGATCACCTGTTGTATGGGGCCACGGGCCGGCCCAACACCGGCCTGGGTGGCCGCCTTGAGGGGATCTGCAGAGTCGGTCGGGTAGCGGGTGATGAAAGGCTCGAACTTGGCGCCGGAGGTCTGCACCTCCAAAGCACACGCAGCGCCCCGAGGCCCCGAGATGCCCCGAGTCCCAGTCTTCCACCACCCCAAAAGGCCGAGGCGAGGGCCGTGTAGCCCAGCACCGCCAGCATGCAAACCCGGCCGTGCGCCAGCTCCGCCTCTCGGTACCAAGGCAGCAGGCGCTGGTTCTTGGCGAAGCCTCAACCAAAAAAAGAATGCTCCGTTCTGCATGCGCATGAGTCAGACCAGATGTATGCAAAGGGCCAGCTTGACATGCAGAGCATTGCAGAGCAGTGTCGTTCTGGAACGAGAAAACTCTAGACCCTACTTGTACCAGGCCTGCAGGGTCGAAGCCCACATCACCCACATAGGTGCTGTTGAAGATGTCGTTGCTGAGGCCCTCTGGGATGGGATCCCAAGGGATGGCCGTGGACTTGCCAGCTCCGGAGCCGAACTCGGCGCGCATCTGCAACCTGTCCCCGGTCTCGCGCTGCGCGTAGCCGCCGACGAAAGGGTTCAGGTTCCCGGTGGTGAACTGCTCGACCAAAGACTGGCCCGTGGCCCCGTTCTGTGCCACGATAGCGGCCATGGCAACCATAGCAAGTCTGCCGTTGTTGATCTCAGCCAACAACTTCTTCTGCTTCTCCTCGGGTTCGAGAGTGTTGATTCGGCCCCAGAAGGGGGGGTAGCCATAGTTCTCCGGGAAGGCCTGGTTCTTGGCCTCAATGGCACCTGCAAGTGCAAAGATCTGCAACCAGCCAAAGGTGGGGACCTTGTAGATGGCCTCGATGGTGCAAGGGATATCAGAGAACTTGAGGTCCATGCTGGGTGAGAGATAGCCACCGAAGCGGCCAAAGAGGTCGGGCACAATCATACCGATGGTAGCGACCATGCAGATCCTGCCATGCTTCAACTCCAGCTCACGGTTGCGGCGGAACTTCTCCTCGTCCTGGAAAGCCATCATGCCGAAGGGATCCCAGTAGCCAAGAGGAGGGCAGGCACCAAGCTCTGCGGAAGGGTCGAAGGCGAAGAAGCCCTGGCCATCGTTGAAGGGCGAGATGTGGCCAGCGGTGAGCTGCTCAATTGGGGACTGGCCAGTGAGGCCGTTCTGGATCAGCATGCCGGACATGGCAATCATCGCAAGCCTGCCGTTGTTGAGCTCGGTGGTCAGCTTGAGCTTGCGCTCGGCAGGGTCCTGGATCTTCCTGCCCCAGTAGCCGGTGCCGAAGTTGCCGGGCTCGGCGCCGTACTTGGCATAGCCGAAGCCTCCGAAGGACTGATCCTTCAGCAGCTGGGTCTCGATAAGGCCGGCCACCAAGAGAATCTGCAACCAACCCTCCAGCGGAACCTTCGTCACGGCTGCGATTCCCGAGGGCACATCGGCAAACTTCAGATTCTGGGATGGAGACAAGTAGCCATCGAACTTGCCAAAAATGTCCGGCCACACCATACCGATGGTGGCGACCATACAGAGACGGCCATGCTTCAGCTCCACAGCACGACGACGGTCGAAGTCCTCCTTGGTGCAGCCATCCTGGCAGTAGCCGACCGGGTCCCAGAACAAAAGGGGGTCGCAGGCTCCGATCTCATTGGAGGCATCGTAAGCACTGAGGATCGTAGGCGCGGTCACCTTGGCCGCCTTGGAGCCAGGGCGCGCCAAAACGGCCGCGGCGAGGCCCACTGCACCCAGGCCCAGAGGCAGGGAGCTCCCGGCGGCGCCCGAGCGCGCGCGCTCCGCTCCACGCAGGGAGGATGCCGTGGAGGCTCGCGCCGGCGAGGCGCTCGGCGCCACGAAGGCTGAGGCCGCCGTGACGGCGGCAGCTCCTGCAGCTGCAGCAGCGATCTTGGACATGGCCGGCATTGCGGGTTGGATCGCTGAGGCGTCTTCGACGTCTTTCCTTGCTCTGCCTACCGAGCTTGAGACAAGCATGAACGAAACAACGTTCCACTTCCACGGCATGGCACAAAGGCAGCCCGAGGAAAAAGACAGAGCCAGTCTCGAACTGAATCAGAAGGACTCGCCCAGAGTCAAAGCACGGGCCTCCGCAGGATCCTCCTTCTTAAGCTGCCCCCCATGCAGGGACCTCAGGAGAGGAGGAAGGCACTCAGGGGTCGCCGTGCGGCGGAGCTGTTCAACAGAAATCTGAGAATCCGTCTCGTCAGTCGCATCGCCACGCGACAGTTCATGGAGCGAAACCAGCCCGCACCACCGAATCACCCGTTTTGCGCATCGGCTTGCACTGGCATCCACTTATAGACTTCTGTGTATGTATGAAGTGCTACACTGTCAGGTGAAAGCTCGCAATGTAGTCTGGACGGCGGTGCAGTTCACCCCGCATGGATTCCGCAAACTCCCCTGTTGCCACAGCCCCGTAGATGTACAGCCCCGGCAGAGTGGACGAGCCCATGTCCAGCCTCATCTGGACCCATAGAGTCACCGAAGGTGTGTTTGAAGTAAACCTGCTATCGACGGACTCATCCCCACTCAATGGACTCCGAAAACATCTGTGCACCTGGTAAATGGCCGTGCCCAGAGCCGAGAAAAGGGAGAGCAGAACACCCAGGACCCTGCCGGGCCAGGTCTCGGCGGTGGCCGCTTCGGGCGTAAAAAACACGGGCACTCGGCCTCTGCTCTTCGGTGAGGCCTGAGCCTGGCAGAGGCAGAGGCAGAGGACACCCCAGAGCTGAGACGGCAGTGCCGGCATCCGCGCTGCCTCTCGCAGAGCCGTGCCAGGGCTCCGCTATGAGCAAGACCCCGACCTCACAAAGAGATTTGGTTTGTGGCAGGGGGGTTAACCCAAGAGCTCAGGCCATGACCACAGACAGGCCAACGCTGAGCGCCTTGGCGTAGGTTTGATATTTGAAGCTTCTTGCCGCATGCTTCACTGCTGCACCTGCCTTCCATCTTTGGGAGGCAGCCTCAGTTAACAGACCAGATGCCTTCGTTTGTTGTACTCGAGAATCCCTCTGTCCGTCCGTTCTATTACGTTACTGATTTGAATCTGCCGCGGCACCAGCCGGATGTCAAGATTTTCGGTTGCATTCGATCCCAGTGGAGCTTTCGCTACAATGACCGGGAAAAGGCCCGCACTGCATCGCCGTATCCACCTGACGCTGACTGTGGCAACTCACTGCCTTCGCGGATGGTCCTATGAGTGTCCTATGACTTCCGTCGCGGTCTCCGAATGGTCTAGGCGATCAGCTGCGGAACATACCGTGCTGCGATGCAACATCTGCAATGCCTGCAACTTTGGCACCTCATGCCACACGCCTTGCTTCTGTCAAGGAGCAACACATGTCCATGTAGCTTCCGTCAAGACGAAGTCCACTCTTCATGCTGTTGCACAACTGTCTCTGCGAGATTAAATACCTGCTACAGCCTACAGGTATCCTACGCTATGTCTGCAACCCCTGCGCTAGTAGTGCAAACCACCCATGTTGGGTGCAGCCCTGACGGTGTGCTGCTGGTGAGCGATTTTCTCGGTTCACGCTTCTACCATCATAACCGCGTGGTTCGAAGCCTGAACAAAGCCATCTGAAAGGCCAATCCGGTGTGGGAAACAGCCCCGGGGGCCTCATTCGGAGAATCTTGACAAAGAGCCAGAACCAAAGCGCATGCATGAGAAATAGTTTCCCGCCTGATTCGGGTAGAAAAAGCGTCTGAAGCAACAGCGTGAAGACCTCGTCCAATGCTTCATCGAAGCACACGGAGGCCGTGGCATGCCTGTAAAGCATCCTGTGCTGTCCAGCCGGACAACATGATATATCACACGCGGTCTGATTGCTGCTACGTGCTTAGAACTTGCAAGTACGAGTATCACTCTACCCAACGCTCGCAAGGCTCTGCTTCAGGCTTGGAGCTTGGCGGGACTGCTGCTGAAAATGGCAGTGTTGAGAGACGCCGGCAAGAAGTGCAGTGCCTCGAGCTGAAAACAGCTGTATGTGTGTATTAGCATAAGTTCTCTAAGACCCCGACGCCTATGTAAGAGAAGTTGGTTGTCAAGGCGATGAACTTGGCAAGCAAGAGGCTGTTGATCCACCACGACATGCCAATCGCATGCTGCCTGCGCACCTTTTTGCCCTGGCGACCGAAACCTGCAGACAAGCTCGCCACTGAGCGCTGCTCGTCAGGGCCAGGCCGCCGGTTGGGGCGACGCCCCAGGTTCCGTGACTGCGACGACGGCCGCCGCGACGGTGCCGCTGCCGATGCTGCTGGTGTTTCGCCTTGCCGCTCCGGGGGCCTTCCTGGCCGCCCTGGCCGGCTGAGGCGCGGCCTGGCTCTGGCCGCTTGGCCCAGGCCGCCAAGGCCCTGCAGCTGGTTTTCGCAAGCTGCGAGGTGAAGGCGAAGGTGCGCCCGGAGGGCACCGGCCGGCAGCGCTGCCATGTCCCGTGGTACGCCGATGTTCTGGGAAAGGAAGCGGAGCGGTGCCAGCGCCAGTGCCGCTGCAGAGGATCGAGCGGCACGCCGCGCTGCCGACTCGAGCTCTGAAGGGTACGCATCTCTGCAAGAGGCTCGTAGCAAGGACTCCACAACCTGCCGCAAAGCCAAGTCCACCTCTGGGTTGTGGCCAGGATAACCTTCTGCCATCTTCCTGGCTTCGACTGTTCTACGGCCGCATCCTCGACCACAGCACGCGAAGGAGACGATGGCACTGTGGTTGCTGCAGATGCGTGCAGCCGCCTCTCTGCAGGCCTCTTGCGAATGTTGAGCTGCAGCCTCGGCTGCCTCCAACACTGAGAGCGCGGGACTCAGGATGGCGTTTCTGGGCAGCGGCATGGCTGATGTGCGGCCTGGGTCCTCTCGCAGGGAGATGGCTAGGAGTGTCTCCGCATCGCTGCACAACTCACCAAAGGAGCAGATGCCCGGCCGCCGACCGGTCGACAGCATCTCAGATACGGATGCCCAGTTTGACAGACGCGGCCCGGAGGCCAGGAATGGGTGCAACAGCAGAGCTTCTACCCGCTCCAAGATGGGCAGGAGCCTGCGGAGTCGAAGCACTCATCGGAACGTTTCGTGCTGGTGCAGTAACTATCATGCATCCTAGCAGCATGAGATCGACCATGTGAGGGCGCGCGGCGCCCAGAAACGAGCCCTGCGCAGGGCACTTGGGCAGGCACTTTTGGCGGCGAGGCTGACGTGCTGACGTGCTGGCCTCGCTGGCGCCCAAGGCCTCTTCCAAAGCATCCAAGGCAGAAGCAAGGTGCTCCTCTCAGCGACGGCTCACCGGCTTACATCTCAGTTGCAGAGACGTGCAGACTCGTAGCAAGGCTCCTCTTCCTTCGGACCTGAGCTCCGAGATGCTCGAGGCCAGCGGGGCTCCGACATTCTTGCCGAGCGGCCATGGGACGGAGACACGCCCCAAGTTGGCTTTCCTCCCGGCAGCCGCTTGTATGCTGAGTGGGCCTCACAGCGGTCTGGGGTCTCCAGGCCAACGTCTGCAGGGGCCATCTACCGTCGCAGCGTCCTAAAGTAGCGATCAGCAGCAGCGGCCTTCTGCAGCTGGGAGAAGAGCTGCAGCCACTCAGGCCTCGCTTTCGGCCAAGGACTCTTTGCTCCAAACCGTTCTGCCAGCATCGCACAGACCTGTCACGGGTCAGATCTCAGAAGAAGGGCCTCCGAAACCGCGACCGCGAAGGCGCCTGCTCCCCGCGGCCCACATCTCGCATTGCCGCCTGAAAGACCCAGGAGCTTCCGCTTCCGCTCCTCTCCTGCAGAAGACAAAAACGCTGTAACGAGCATCTTTTGCGGGGCTCGGAACTTCCTGGTCCCACAGCTGAATGACCGGTACCAGACGTTGCCGCTTCTTCTCGCCGGGCCTCCCCAGACAGGAGCACGGAATTTGCACACTGCCGAAGGCTTGAAGGTTATCGGACATATGCTATCGACGTTTAGGGCAACGCCGAAAAGGCTAGCACGAGACGACGGATACCCTTCTTTTGTATGGGAAGAAAGCGCATCGCGCCGGGTCCGTCGCCTCCGCCCAAAACTAGGCTGGCCGGCGCCGGGGAAGCTTTGAGCTACCCGACGCGCCGCCCGTGGGCGGGGGACGACCCTCCAGTCTTTCAGCAAACGGCTTCGCCGATACTGGGGAGGCCTCCTCCCCACTCCCAACACGAGGGTGGTAGAGGGTGGGCCGAAAAAGCGACGTCGAGCCGGAACAGCTGCCGGCACGACGAGTCGCTAATGTCCATGCGCACACGCGTGTGCTACACGACATATGCTATCGACGTTTAGGGCAACGCCGAAAAGGCTAGCACGAGACGACGGATACCCTTCTTTTGTATGGGAAGAAAGCGCATCGCGCCGGGTCCGTCGCCTCCGCCCAAAACTAGGCTGGCCGGCGCCGGGGAAGCTTTGAGCTACCCGCCCGGCGCTCCCCACCCCCACACAGCGCCGGCACAGCCGAACTACCGGAAAACTCAAATAGCGCAAGCTCTCAGCTCCGCCGCCGCTTCGTGGATGGCGAACTCGAGGTCGCCAGCGGTCTTGGCCAGGATGGCGCAAATTCTGGCCGCCGGCGTGCTCACTCTAGTCCAGCCCATCGCCTCGGCCGTGGCCAGGTCGCCGCGGGACACCGCATCCGCCACGTTGGCCTTTGAAGGTACCCGCCGCAAATCGGGCAGCCAGTTCATCTCCGCTGCTTGGGACCAGAACGCCGCCAGGACGCCGTTGACCGCGGGGTCCCTCCCGTAGCCCTTGGTCAGGGCCCACTGGCCGGCGACGTTATCAATGAACGCCAGCCAGCGTTCCGGCAACCGCCGCGCCAGCGTTGTCAACGCCAGGACCTGGGCGACAATCTCGAGCACATAGATGAAGGCCCGCCTGGAGCCGAACGCCACCAGGAAGGAGGATGGCGCCTGGCCGTAGTCATAGTAGGTCTCGCCGCCGACTCTGACCACGTATCCCCAGCCGTTCTTGCCGCGTGCCCCTTTTGGTGTGGGCAGGTCCGCCGGCAAGAAACCCGCCTTGTGCTTGACCTCGCCTGGCTGGAAGAACGCGTCCGCGTACACCAGGGCCTGCGGGGCGCCGTCGTCGACGAACGGCACAAACCGGGGCCGGATGTTCCTGAGGAGCTGCCGGAGTGCCCGGAGGGCCGCCGCCAACCCCAACGACAGTTCTGGGGATGACTCCGCCGCCGCGTCGTGGGCTCTGGCGTAAAGCGGCTTCAACGCCGCCTTGCCGAAGCAGCCGAATGTGGACTGGGACGCGAAGCTCAGCCTGCCCGCCAGCTTCTGCGCCGCATGTGGCTGAAGGGCGTTCGTCTCCAGCGCCGCCTCGATGGCCCGGAGGAGCTTGGCCACCCTAGAGGGGGTAGGCCGCAGGGACACGCCGTCCGCCTCGATCGTCATTTCCACTCCTTGGACCACGTGCCGGGCCGCCGGCTCCTGGGCCTTCGACGGTTTGGTCTGCAGGCCGAGCTCCAGGAAGAGGTCCGCCACAGAGTGGAAGGCCGACTCCGCGAGCTCCGGGAGGTCGACGCCGTTGAAGTCGTCCACGAAATGGCCGCCCACCAGCCACAGCAGGACGCGGGTCAGCGCCTGCATCGCATCCGCGGCCCTGTTAAAATTCCAAACCGACGCCGCGGCTCCAAAACACATGGCCAGGTGAAACCAGAGTGTCAGCCCAGCCGGTGTCGCCAGGAACGTGCCGGAGTGGGCCGGGTGCCGGACTGCCCACTGCCGGTAGGCATTGAGCAGGTCGTGCCCGAACAGCCTGGCCGCCGGGACCCCACGATTTCCTGCCAGTTCCACCACGCGCCGGACGAAGTCCACCACGTCATCCACGAAGTGGTGGGTGGGAACGTCACGCGCCAGGATCGTGGAATTGTGTCCCGAGCGCCGCCAGTCCTCCCCTCGACGCACTTTCGTGTTCCCCTCGCCGTCCTCCTGCACGATGGCAAAGGACGCCGCGGCAAAGTGGCGGCCGGGGGGCGGCGGCACCAGCGGGTCGGCGCCGGGCGTGTTCAGCACCGGCACGGTGACAATGTTCCACCCCGCCGGTGGGGCCGTTGGACCGACCACCCTGCCAAGCCTGGCCTCCGCCACGAGTTCCGTCAGGAGGGTCTCCCAGTGCTTGCCGGGCTGCGCCGCCGAGGCGCGCTTCCGGACGTACTCCCAGTTGGTCGCCGCCAGCTGGTTCAGGGACACCGGGTTCTGGTAGCGGCCGTCCGTCCGGTCCTTGCAGCCGGGGCCGCGCCGCACCTCGCCGAGCATGTCGAAGCCCTGGGTGAGGTCCGCCGTGACACCTTCGATGTCGGGATAGCCCACCACGCCGAGGAGCTTCAGCAGGACCGGGATTTGCGTAGGCCGGTCCTTGTCCGCTGTGGAGTAGGTGCTGCGCACCGGAGGTGGGCGCTGGGCCAGCCAGGCCGCCGTCTCCTCCTCGCGGTCCGCCACCATCTCTCTGATCTCCTGCAGCACCTCGCCGCGGATCCTGACCACGTCGTGGCGCCAGGCGGCCGCGAGCCCCAAGACACGTTCCACCGCCGGCTCCAGGGCCGGCCGCCGGGTGACCGTGCAATGGCTCAATTGAAGTGCCAGCCGCCAGTGCTCATCGGGGTCATCCTCCGGCAAGTCGAGCCGCGACGCCAGGCGAGGCATGTCCAGGGGGCCGGCGCCGAACTGCGAGGCCATCCACGCCACCGTGGTGGTCCTCGGTGCTGCTGGCACCGACGCCTCCGCCGGCTGTGCCACCGTAAAAGCACTCCCCAGTGCCACCCATTGGCCACCATCCTATGCCGGGTCCTGTCGTCTCCATCGCCGAGGTCCGTGTACCCCCCCGGCATGTGGTGGGCCTCCTTGACGCCGACGGGGATGTTGTGGAGCCGGCCGGCCTCGTCGTGGATCATCGCCTCCTCTGTGTAGTGCCAGGGGGCGAATTGCCGGGAGTCCGCCAGCCACCTGGCCCTCGCCGGCTCCGGGATCTTTCCCCTAGCTCTCTTCGGCGCCGGGCGGCCGTTCTCGTCTTCAGCCTGCTCGACGCCACTGCCGGGTGAAAGGCCATGCCCACCGGGAGCAGTGTGCTCGCCGCCGCCCTGGCCGGAGACGGTGGAACGGCCCCTTCTTGGTCCAGACCAGGGGGGCGCCGGTGGCCGGGTCCTCCGTGTGCTGCCGGAGGTCCGCCGAGAGCCACCAGAGTCTCGGCCTCGAGATCCACCCAAAATCGGAGGCGCACACCAGCGCCGGTTCCACTCCAAGGCAGTCGGAGACCTCCTTGGCCGACGCCGGCTGCATGACGACATTCTCAAACATAAAGCCGACCCGCCAGCCGCGGAGCGCCGCCCTCAGCTCCAGGACGAACTCCGCCGAGCGCAAGAACGGGTGCCACTGTGGCCAGCCTCCGCGCCGATTTGGGAGAAATCTTGGCGGGGCGCCGCGACGAGGAGAATCACACACTCACCGGCCGGGTCCAGGCGCTTGACCTCCGCCACTTTCTCCACCAAGTCCGCAGTGAAGTCACCCCTCTGCCGGAGCCAGGGCAGCCGGATGGATGTCAAGCGCCGGCAAGTCTTGTCTGTCTCCCACGCCATGGCCGCCCGCGGTGTACCAAAAAGGTCCTCGAGGATCGCCGGCGCCGCCCCGACGCCGTCAAAGAGGGAGAGCAGGATGTACTTGCCATTCCGGCGCGCCGGCCTGGCCGGCTTCAACACCACCGCCTGTGCGGCCGGGCTCCGGTCGGGTACCCCACCCGAGGCCGAAGCGCCGGGCGGGGCCCCGTGCTGTCCCTAGCGCCTGTGCTTCTGCGGGCGGTCGCCTTCCTGCGCCTGGGAGTCTCTCTTCCCGCCGCGGTCCTGCCACGACTGGGCCCGGTCGGCATTGGCCCACCGCCGATCGTCATGCCAGTCCTGGCGGCCGGGCTGCTGGTTGGAGTCGCCGCGAGGGCGCCAGTTCTGCCGCCAGCCACCACCACCGCAGCCGCGGCTGTCCGAGCCACCCTCGTCGCCGCGGTGCTGGTGCTGCTGTTGCGCCTGGCGGGGGTTGTCGCGGCGCCGCCGGTTCTTCTTTACCTTCTGTGGCCCGGGCCCGGGCTGGTACCCCTGGTGCGCCGCGGGGCCTGGCGGGCCGTCCGTCTCCGGGCTCGCCGGGGGCCGTGGGCGGGAGAGGTTATCCAGGAACGCCGCCTGGTCCTTCATGATCTCCGCCGTGGAGGACGCGTCCCAGTACTCCGTGATCGCCTCGAGCTGGGATGGGCGCTGCCGGGCCTTCGACGTCCACCACTAACCGTACTCCGCCGCCCCTTTTTTCGTGGCACGCCGGTGAGGGTCCACGCCCAGCGCACCGCCTCGATGCCGTCGATGACGCCGAGGACCCCCCTCGGGGTCCACGGGTCCTCCCGGTCATGGACCAGTGCGCCGTCCACCAACCGGATCGCCTGGCCCCTCTCCTTGTGGCGCCGGATCGCCAGCGGGTTCACCTCCATGGCCGCCGTGAAGGTGCGCCGCTGCAAAATCTCTCCCAAGCCGACCGCCGTGTACTCCTTCGACTTGGTGTGCTCGAAGTACATGCGCGCCAGCACCTCCTCCGCGCCCAGAAGGAGGGTCGTGGGGAAATCCCGGGGCTCGCCGGCGACCGTCACCTCGTTGTACCGCTTGACCAGCGGCCCCCACTCCGGGAACGTCTTCGGTGGCTTGTCGCCGGGAAGGGCCGGCACCACCGTTCCAGGGGCCGCCGCCGCCGGGGCTGGCGTGGTAACCGGTGCTGGGACCGCGATGTGGGTGGCCCACTGCTTGTGCGCCTCGGCCCACATGTGGTGCAGGATGGCCTCGACGACCGCCTGCTCCGCCTCCGGCGCCTGGTGCACGGTGCCGGCGATCTCCACACCTTCCAGGAAAGGCCGGACGACGCGGTCCTCAAACTCCGGCCAGGAGTGTGCGATGCAGGTTGCTACCTGGCGGCGCCGTGAGTTGAGGGCCGGCCCCCGCCGCCGCCGCCAGATCCACAAACGGCGTCATGATGGTCACCGCCAGTGCGGGCGCAGCCGGGGGCGCCGCAGGCGCCGCAGGAGCTGGGGGAAAGCCCGGAGCCGCCATGACAGCCGAAGCACCGAGGAGGGGAGACCTAAGCGGAGGCACGCCGAGGGCGGGCGACAAGGGAGAGCCAGAGAGCTATCGCCGCAGGTAATGCACTCAACCGCCAGCACAGGAGGCACAACCACAGCTGCCCACAACTCACCGCCTTCGCCGGCTGTTTTCTCACGAGGACGAGCTGTCCGACTCGGACGCCGAGCTGGACGCTACCGGTGAGTCCACCGGCTCGGTCGGTGAACCTTCACCTTCCCCCGGAGCCGGCGCCGGGAAACAGCGGGCGCACCAAGCGGCGGACGCCGGCTTCTCGGACACTCTGAAGAAGCGCCGGATGCCATACGGCCACGCGCCGCACCTCGACCTCCAGAGGAACTGCTCCGTGCTAGCTTCCGCCGGGTCAGGGCGGTGCACCTTGGCCCCCTTCTCGTTGTAGATGAGGTCCTCTCGCGCCGGCGGGTGTCCATTCCCACCGGGCGCCGGGATGTCAGCCCTGACCGGCTGCGCCTGGCCCGGCTCCGCTCCACCGGGCGCCTCTGGTGGCTCGCCCTGCTCGCCTGGCGGGAGGGCCAAACTGCTCTCCGCCGGGCTGGGCGCCGGGCTCGACTTGAGCTCTCCGGGGCCGGGCGCCACGCCCCCAGCCTACAAGGAGCACCTCTTCTGGCACGCCGGCCAGGAGCAGCGCGCCAGTGTTGTCCAAGGCGCCTCGGAGGTCGTGCACCCCCACCGCCGGCAGGATCGGCAGGAACTCTTGAGCCTGGATGTCGACGAAGGCCCGCGCCACCTGCGCGAACCCGCCGCCGGCTGAGAGGTCGACCGCCGACATCCTTGAACCGGGGGGGGGAATCTTGAGCCGCTATACCTCAACGAACGCGCCACGACGATTAGGGTAGGAGGGGCCGGGCCGGGTGGGCGACAGCACTGCCACTTGCGCCGACTGCAATCCAGACGCACACCGCCGGGCCGACTTTTCGCGCCAGGCTATGATCCGAGGCTCTTGGGCCTCCCGACCTGCACTTACGGCACGCCGGGAAGCAACGGCAGAAACTAATTAGAGCATCGTGGGCCAGCGGCCGCCGGAGCCGGAGAGGCCCGCGAAGGCGTCGCGGCACCGCCGGGACCCAAAAAGAAGAAGAAACCGGCTGAGGGCTACGCCAGGAGACCTACCATGCGGGCGATCGCCAGGAAGAGGTAGGGTAGCCCGCCGGCGGGTGGCACACTAGAACCGGCCGTCACGCGTGTTCCGGTAGCGCCGGCACGCGTCGCACAGGTGGTTGGTGTGCGCCTCCAGGTCCTCCGTGCCACCACGCCGAATGAGAACCGGGCGTAGGCATCAGCCGCCGGGGCTTTGGCAGACGCCTTCAAAGCCGGGACATGGCCTTCCACACCAGCCCACGCACCAGACCTCGCCGGCCAGCCGCTCGGGGATGCGACCGCCGCGATGGTTAGGCACCAGCGAGCGGACTATGTAATCCGCTGCGCCGGGCGCCGTGGGCACCACGGCCGTGGCTGCACCGCCGCCAAGCCGCGCCCGATCTTCGAGCTCATCGAGGGCCTCCACCGAGGCGACGATGGAGGCCATCATCGCCGCCGGGACCGGGACGTCCGAGGAGGCGCCAGGCTGGTTGATCCGCCGAATGTGGTTCTGCCACTCGACGGAGCAGAGCCTGAAGCGAATGTCCACCAGCCGCCGAAAGAGCTCGTCGTTGTGGCGGCGCTCTGCGTCCGACGCCGTCCGGCCAGGACGCCGCGGCAACTCCGGGAAGCCCTCCCCCGTGGTCCGGTTGACCGTATAGGTAACGCCGCGAATCTCCATGCGGACGAAACCGGGGGGGATGGGCGCCTGGGCAGCGGGGCCTGCTGAAGCCGGCTGTGCCGGGGCCCCCGCCGCGATCTCTGCCGCAATCTGGTTCTGCAGCGCCGTCATCTCCGCTGAGTTGGGGGCCGGCGTCTTCGCCACCGGTGCCGGCTTCGCCGGCGGGAAAGATGACTGCTTCGCGGAAGCCGCCGCCCAGGCCGCATAGAACTCCGCCGCGGAGACAAAGTTCAGCTCCCTGGCCTGCCGGGCATCCGCCTCCGAGTTGAACCCCTCGGAGGCCCACAGGGCGACAGGCGGGCCCTTCGGCTTTGGCTTAGCCGGGGCCGCCGACGCCTGGGGCAACTGCTGACCATCGCCGTGTCCTGCCGGCACCGGTGGAGGCCGCTTCTGCATCGGTGGCACCGGCCAGGGTGCCGGGTAGCCTGGCGCCTGCGCAGCAGCCGGCGGCTCCGGGTTTGGCTCCGGGATGGCCTGCCCCGCTGGGCAGACGCCGCCACATCGTTCGAACCAGAGGCACCGGTGCCGCCGGGAGCTCCATCATTCGACCCGGATGCGCCACCAGTGCCGGGACCGTCAGCCGGCTGCGCTGCCTTAGGCAGTGCCGGGTTCACATTTGCCGCCGTCCGGCTCGGTAAGGACGCCTGCAGCATAAGCATCAAGGACCGCCGGGCGCCTGCCGGGCACTGCTGGAGATAGGGGCCCAAGTCCTCCCCTTCGTCCAGCGCCGCCAGGATCACCACAAAGGCCGCCTCGATGTCCGCCAGTGAGAAGGACATGGCTCAACCGGGAGGAAGCTACAGAACGCCTAATCGCCGAAAAAGCGACGTCGAGCCGGAACAGCTGCCGGCACGACGAGTCGCTAATGTCCATGCGCACACGCGTGTGCTACACAACAAACGTGGTCGCCTCAAGTAAGCCCTCAGCGGCGTAGTATCCATGACATAGGGGATCTTCATTTCTTCCAGCACGACCCAGGACACCATGCCTTGCAACCAGCCAAAGCCCCACAAGAAAAGCGCCAAGAACGGAGGAAAACGAACTTGTAGCATGCATGTTCAAGCAAACCCTGCAATGACAGCATACAAGTAGGCTTGGACACGGTCTCTACCAATACATAGCAGTTTGCAGAGGATACCCTCAAGCACAGAGCACTGAAAACAACCCGAGACTTGTCATCGAAAGCAGCAGTCCTTTCCATCAAACTTTCGTGTGACCGGAGCATGCGTTCGAGAAGGAACAGCTTGAGAAGAAGCCCAGAATTTTCTTCGTGATAGGCCAAACAAGTTACTCTCTACCCATCACAGACAAAGCCACAATGTGGACACCAGCCAGCCGCGTCGTGCCAGAACTTCAGTGCAGGCGTCTCTGCACCGAAAAGCCGGGCTTTGGCTTCGAAGATGCGCTCCGCCGGGCTCCCGGCAGCGCCTCAGATGCGCGGCTTTGGAATCCAGATGCCAGATGCTCCCTCTCCTCTCATCCGGACGAGCGGCTGGCCAGCTCATCCCAGCTTGGCGTGGATACCGACGAGTTGTGAGAAAGACCAGCTCGGGACGCAGCGCGGCGCTGACCTAGAATAGAGATGGGAATGCGCAGAATGCCAAGTAGCTTCCTAGGTCCTAGGCCAAGCGCTTCAAAGTCGCCTGAACTGGCCACAGCCAAGCCCGCGAGGCCGACGGCACACTTCCTTCCAAGGAAGCTCAGTCCAAGCTTCGGCGGCCATGCCTGCGACCTGAGGCATCCGAAGGGGCGGTGTCCTGGCGTCCCAGACCCAGGCATGTGATGGGAACTTCCTGGAGCTCGGCAACCTTACGGGGTTCCATGGGTTCCATCGCAACTTTGGCGCAAGGCCAGGGGCCAAAACCAGGGCCATCCCAGGATGTCTGCACAAACCAGGAACGGGTCTGACTATCGAGGGCACTCTGAACATGCACTACAACGCGTGTGGAAGTAGCACAAACAAAGATATAACTGCGGCACGACGCGACTATCGAGGGTCTGATCTGTTCTTCAGTCTACAACACCACATGCTGTGCCAATGCATTGGGCCCGGAATGAGCAGCGGTCAGGTCTTGTGGAAAGCTTTGGGCGCTGTGCAGCATGCATCTGCCGATGGTGTCGAAGCGTCTCCGATGCACACGCAGTGGATGCACTAAGGCATCAGCCAAGAAGCGTGGTGGATGCGAGGCCTGCCGTCAAATGGAAGTGTCTAGCGATTCTTGCTGTCTTTCTCGAGTCGAGGGCTTCGCTTGATCAACATCATGGCGAGTCGACGTGTCTATGGCATCCAAGGTACCCGGGAGACGTGTTTAAGCAACAGCCACGACAAGCCCTTCTCTTGCAGTCAAGCTTGCGCACATGGATTAAGCAATCGAACTTCGCAGATCTACGTCCGCCTCAGGCTGCTGTCCTGCACTTTTCCGCTTGAACTCATTTCCCTCGCATCTCTTTCTGAAGTACTGGCTTTTGTGTGCGCGTGTTCAGGCCTTGAAGGCTTTCGTGGTCACGAGGTCAAGCATCACAGCTCCTGACGAAGGGAGCCTAGATCCCCCGCAGCGGTTGTCGTCGAGCCGCAAGATGAGCCCTTGCTTTTCGCGCGCACTGCCCACGAGCTCCGAAGTCCGAAGTATCGGGTGCAAGAGAAGCTCTGCATGGCTGCTATTCCGCTCTGCCACGTGCTAAAGGATCCAAGTGTACAATCCCCTACACCCGGAGGCACAGTATGGATACCAAACGCAAAGCCGTCTGGACATGCAGATTGGTTTGAGCTTAAGCAGACATCTGCCGAAGCTACTTGACTGGTTGGGGCTCTTCCTCGATTAGGATGTAAGCAATGCTTCGCTGATGCTACGCTTGAGTTCCACTTGGAAGAGTTTCGGCACTAGCTGGCGGAATGTTGCCCGTCAGGCATCAGCAGCTGGAAGAGCGACTCGGCCGCTTGACGACCAGTCAGACACAAAACTTTTGAAGCTCCAAGTTGAATTCCGAAGGTGCTGCCAAACAAAGCCTTGTATCTCCAAGGTTCTGGGACATCCAGTGAGGTGCTGCGTGACGGGAGGCCCTTGTTTCAGGGCCTGCCACCCAATAGCTCCATAATATTGGAGCCTGCGCCACAGCCTTTGTGATGCAAGCAAAGCTTGACAGAGCCAAGGTTCACTGACAATGGCATACAATGGCAGCATCTTCCTGCTGAGCACATCTAAGACATGAGAACATATGGCTGAGGATATCTTCCCCACATGTACTGGCAGGTGTGTCAACCCCAGTGTAGTGCAGGAGTCCATGCCGCAAAGTCTCGTGACTCTCGCGGTGCGGCATAGAGCGCCTGAGGTTTACACGTCCACCGCGACTGCGGGGGTGAGACTGGCTCCACGGAGCCAAAGCGCCGGCATTATGCTGGGCAGTCCGCAATCTGACAACGATACTTCCGTCCTGATAGTTGGATTGGCGCTAGACGTGCATCGTTGAGTTGAGGAGTGCCCACTGGCTTCACTGTGGGACTTTTGCACGTTAGACAAAGCCATTGCCCATGAGCCAAGTAGAGGCATCTTGCCGTCTATACAGGATTTCCGGCCTTGCATGACCAGCTTAAATCTTTGGCTGGGCGACGTATCTCTGCACGAAGGACTGTACATGGGCATGCACTCAAAACTTGAAAAGCAAAATAAAACTGGTCGATCGTGGACGTGAACTCATCTGCGCATCGACATTCATCTGGTCTTCAAGGTGGACATGCGCAGTCAGCCCCGGGCGGTGTAGAAGCATCGACTCTGGGCGTGCCGCCTGGGACGCCACCTGGGAGCTGAAGCGAGAAATGGTCGTTGCTTATTCCCTTTCGCTGCCGTCTCTTCAACGAACCGCAAAAAACCTTCCTGAAAGTCGCACTCAGCCCTTCCTCGCAAATGTCTCCGGCTCTGCCAAATATCAAAGTCATGAAGAAAATTGAAAACTGAGCTAGTCCGGAAAGTCCTTCAAAACCCCGCTGCATCAGTCCAGAAGGCCCAACCACTCTCGAGCAACGACCACAAAGACTAAGGAAGCTTAACCCGTACTCCTCAGCATCCCTGTACGCCCTTCCGTTTCAAGACAGTTTCCTCGTCGCTCAGCCAGTCCAGGTATCACTACTAGCTGCTTCTTCTCCTTCGGGATCCCATGCTTGTTGAGAAGCCGTGTACTGGGAGGCTCAATGCATAGCGCAGCGCTGAGTCGAAGCGGTGCAGAAGCGGTATCCATCCGACTGATTTGGCTGAACCTCCAACAGGAGCACGGGCACGGGGATAAAACTAAAACAGCCGTGGAAGGACAAGACGAAAGCATCTCATGCTCGATCAGATTCCATGGCAGTGCTCTCTTGACTTTCTTGAACCACTTGCGAATCAGATCTCCTGAGCCTGCGACATCTCCTTTGTCCCTGATGCGCCTGCAGTGGTTCAGAGGGACAGGCAGTTCTTCCCTCAAACAAGCACATTCTCGCGTGTGCATACGCATCCGTAGGCGTGTCCGTACGTGTGTATGTACGTATGCGTGCATGTATGTATGTATGTATGTATGTATGAATGCATGTGTGGATGTATGTGTAGTTCATGCATCCGAATGCAATGCACACAACACACACACACACACACACACATGGCCATGCGCACAGGCGGTATCCGCATCTTTCTCCACGTGTACGATCCTGTCTGTGCTTGCATTGTAAGTTACGTGTGCTTGTTTGCCAATATCCCTTCATGGCAAACATATGGTCATGTACTCTCTCATGCACATAAGTCTGCGCAAATGCCCGCGTTACATCGTACAAGCTCAGAAGTGCATTGCACACCTAGCTGAACACGCGTCACCCTATACGACAAATCATGTTGGTGTATGCGAAGATATACATTGTAGCAAGCACACATGCATGTAAACATGTCTGAAGAGAATGGGCGAAGGCAGCATCGTCTGCATCAATGTACCAAGTTACATTGTCTTTGCCCATATCTTCTTGCGGCCTCCAGACTCTAGTCGAAGGTGCCGGCCAGTTCTGCTGTTAAGTTGCCGCAAAAGCATACGCGTGGGTAAACTAATCTATCTGCATGATAGGAGACTGTCACAGATTCCGTGCTTGAGTTCAGTGGATGTGCTCTGCTGGGCCTTGCCATGTGCGGAAGGGCGAGCAAGATCCATGCCGTCGCATTTGCCCAAGTCAGAAGGGGCACCACCTCGGAAGCAAGCAAAACATTCATGAAACAGCACAGAAACGAGCGCGAGAGAACGGAAGAATGAGGCTCTTTCTAGCAGCAACTGCAGCACTACGTTTTGAAGGTGGCCGACCTGGCTTAGGCATTCTGCGGATCTGCGGTCGCGACCGAGCGGTGCTGGAGCCCTTCTGAGTCCACCTGTCTATGCATTCGCTGCAGCCCGATGTGGAGATTGGCACTTATCATTGCGACCATAAACAAAACCGTAATACTGCAAGTCACCCCATCGCAGCATTTTTCATTGACGATTAAGGATTTGCATTTTGCGTGAGCCACAAACAGCAGCAATCCTGCCTCTGCAGCGCGTGCCAGCTGCGCAACCTTGGGATGGCAGGTCTCCCTTCAATATTGTTTCTTTATCTCTCCATCGAGATACATATTGTACATCCTGTATGTCGATAAACACATGCACAAAGCAGGTACTGTGAATACCACGACGACACGACACTCAACATGAACAAGCAGCCCCATTATCACAGCTATGTATATTCCTTGATATCTACCTGATCATGCTCAGTCGTATGTGTGTGCAAAAAATATCCACATGTGTATATATATATATATATATTATAGATATATATATATATATATATATATATATATATATGTGTATATATACAGATATATTATAAATAGAATCTTTCTATCTATGTATGTCCGCGTGCACAAACAAATGGCTAAATGAATAAACGAATAGATAAACGCATCAACAAACGGAAATCAACAACTAAACACCCTCAAGCAACTAAACAACTAAACACACAAATGCATAAATAAACAATCACATAAATATGTAAGCATATCTGTATATACATATACGTATTTACACGTAAGCTCATGCACATATTTATGTGTTTATTTAGTTCAGGTATTCTTTCATGTGTGTTTGCGCTTCGTAATCTGCGTTCCCCTCCGCCTGCCCCCGGTATCTCCTCACCACCGGCACTTGCCGGCCAAGCCTGAAGGCTCAACCAAGCGGCCTAAACCCCGAACCATTCCCAGGAGAGAAAGCAATTTTTCAAGGGCAGGGGAGGGAGGGGCGACTCATCCATTTGTATGCATTGATATACACTTACCTTATGCGAATTACATGTACGTAGTTGCTGTCACACACGTAGTGAATGTGTGCACCGTGTGGACTGCATCATTTGGCTCTCCTTTGTTCGACAATGTCGGTTGGATAACAGCTCGCGATTAGGCTGGGCACTGACAATCCATGTCAATGCCTCAGGTGTTTGCACCATTTTGGAAGATAGGGCGTGGACGCCCACCCATGATGTCGAAATAGCCAGGAGCAGGCAAGTGCTCGCAGCTAGAGCCTCCACCGATTCGAAGATTCGAATCAGACAGCATGTCAACTCTGCGATGCACAGCCCTGCATTCACAATCTTGGCTTTACTCTTTCTTCGTGAATACGCCAGTACATGGAGGAGAATACTTTCGCCTGAGTATTTCATGTTGGCTGTGTTACACAAGCAATGCCAAGCTCAGCCAATGCAACATGCCGCCTCATCAGATTCTCACAACAATCCGAGTAAATCGGATCTTCAGTTCCCTTTGCAATGGCCTTCCTCGCCATATTTTGCCACAATAACCTCCTGCAGTTAATTCAGCATGAGTCAAGCCAATACTGCTCCCGATTTCTGCAAGAGCCGATTGGACAGTCCTTTGCCGTCATGCGGCTCAGGGATACGAGCGAAACCGATCAAGGCTGACCATGTGCATCCTTGTAAGATGAGCGCGACACTTCTGTGTTCCAGAACCGGTAAAGTTTCAACAAGACGTCGCAGATGTGCTCCATGGTGACTGGCATTGCGCTGGAAGCTACATCGATAAATGTCGTTGCTTTGACTTTGCTCCCATTGTTGCTGTTCCTGTTGACAACCCGAGTTGTTAATCCCACCGGATCTATCCTGGATATGAACCTGCTGACATGCTGCAAAAACGAGACGTGGTGATGGATTCAAAGCAACACCAGCCGAAAACAGGGGTGGCTTCCCAACTGCAATTGGAAGACTACATACAGCAGGTTTCAACTTGAATTGAATTCAAAACCAACAGCAGTAGTAATTCACTGCATCTAGGGTTTGGACGGCATTCTCTGTTTTGCATCCAGATTTACGATTCCAAAAATAAGCTTAAGAGCAGTTCTTAGACACTAAACTGGGCCCAAAAATGCAGTTTTTGACAACTTGGTTGCAATTCACAATCTTTCACGGCTTCTCTTTGTGCAGTCAACATGACTACTTGAGCTGCTGCGAAGAAATGCAACAATGTTG